CATAATTCCGTAAGTTTTCCATCAAATTTCATAATTTTGGTGTCGTTATGATCAGGAAAAGATTCTCTATCTTTTCATAAGAAAAAAATTTTTTTTTTTTTTAACCCTTTGAGGGTTTTCGTCGTACTAATACGTCTTACGCGTAGGGGTTTTTGACGTACTAGTACTCATAAATTCTAGCGACCTCAAATCTAGTGGGAGAAAGCTGGTAGGCCTTCATATGAAAGAATGGGTCTATGTGGTCAGTGTGCACAGTCTAAAAAAAATCCTGCAGCACACGGTGCATAATGAGAAAAAAAAAAACTTTTTCCATTTTTTTTTAACCCTTTGACTGTTTTCGACATATAAATACGTCTTACGAGCCAATGTTTCTGACGTGTATATACTCAATAATTCTAGCGGCTTCAAATCAAGTGGGAGAAAGCTGGTAGGCCCACATGTGAGAGAATGGGTCTGTGTGGTCAGTGTGCACCACATAAAAAAAATCCTGCAGCACACATTGCGTAATGAGAAAAAAAAAACTGATCGTTTTTTTGGAATAAAACGCCGACTTTGAGGTGTATTTTCGTATAGTATTTATCGTTGTATTCGCGTTTTCATGGTCTTAGGTGATAAAATGGAAAACATATTACAGAAATAGAGATGATTTTCATTACTTTTACGATGAAAACGACCTTGAAACTGAGCTCAAAGTAGCGGAAATGTTCGATTTTTACCAATGTTCAAGAGTACATAAATCACACCACACGTCCAATACACGTCAACTGGGGAGTCTAATATTCTTTCACTAGTGCACTGATATTATTTATACCATTTTTACAATAATGCAGTCGTCTGCATAACAGTAAATTTTGTATTTTTTTGTATGAATAAAAAATCAAAATAGAAAGCAATAATAATATAAGAGGGGCCTAGAGATGTGACTAATGAACAGAGCATATGTTATTTTAGTGCCACGAATGTCTACCTTGTTTATTCTGGACCCTATTTTGAAATTGGCATCTTTTTTATTTTGCGTGAAATTGGCCAAATTGCCAATTTCTGACCACCATATTGGGTAGTCCAAATTAGTAAATGGGAGGTTTCTTGTACTCAGCTGATAGATAAAATGGAGTTCTAAAGAAATAGCTATGAGTTTGGTCAACTGGAACAATGGAATTGGCTGAAAATTGGGCTCAAAGTCGGCGAAATCGCCGATACGCATATGTCGCCGAGACCGCTAACTTCGCGGGAGCATAATTCCACGAGTTTTCGACCAAATTTCGAACTTTTGGTGTCATTACCATCGGGAAAAGATTCTCTATCATTTCATAAGAAAAAAATAATTTTTTTTTTTTTCAAAAATTGAGCGACATAGAATGACAGTTTCAGAGAGGGGCCTGAAACAGTCAAAGGGTTAATAAATCAGCGACTTTGCAGTGTATTTTCGTATAGTATTTATTGTTGTATTCTAGTTTTCTTGGTCTCATTTTATAGAATGGAAGACATATTACTGAAATTGAGATGATTTTGACTGGTTTTACAATGAAAGGTGCCTTGAAATTGAGCTCAAAGTAGCAGAAATGTTCGATTTTTACCAAACTTCAAAAGTAAACAAATCGTGCCAAGCGTGCAATACACGTCAACTGGTGAGTCTAATATTCTTTCACAAGTGCACCAATAATATTTATACCATTTTTTACACTAATGCAGTAGTCTGCATAACAGTAAATCTTATATTTTTTTGTGAGAATAAAAATTCAAAGTGGAAAGCAAAAGAATATAAGAGGGGCCTTGAGACGTAACTAATGACTAGAGGAAATGTCATTTTAGTGCCAGGAATGTCTTTCTTGTTTATTCTGGACCCTATTCGGAAATTGGCATCTTTTGAAATTTGTGTGAAATTGGCAAAATTGCTAAATTCTGACCACTGTACTGGATAGTTGAATTTATAAATGGGTGGTTTCTTGCACCCATTCGATAGAAAAAATGGAGTTCTAGCGAAATATTCATGTTTTTTGTCGACTAGTACAGTGAAATTGGCCGAAAATGGGGCTCAAAGTGGGCAAAATCGCCGATCCGTAAACATCGCCGAGACCGCTAACTTTGCGAGAGCATAATTCCGTAAGTTTTCTATCAAATTTCAAACTTTTGGTGTCGTTATGATCGGGAAAAGATTCTCTATCTTTTCATAAGAGAAAATAATTTTTTTTTTTTTTAAATTTGGCCGACCCTGAGAACGAGTTTCGGAGAGGGCCTGTCGACCCTCAAAGGGTTAAATTTGGCCGACCCTGAGAACGAGTCTCGGAGAGGGCCTGTCGACCCTCAAAGGGTTAAGGGTTAATAAGTTTTTTAACTCGTATACTAGTTCACTTTTACTACTGCTAGTATTACAACTACTACTATTATTATTATATTGTGCCTTACACCTCACTCTTAGCCTATATATACCCTCTGTGTCCATGTCTAATGGCTTGACAAAGCTCCTGGAGAGTGAAACATTGCCACAGTAAAATGTCTGATCAACCAGGCTGTGATGGATATGTAGGACAGTGGGCCTCCAGCAGCAACAGTCTAGTTGACCAGGTAAGCACCAGATGAGCCTGTCCCATGGCCAGGCTACTAGAGTAGAGAGACTCGGAACTCATCAAAGGTATATGATACGAGTGGCACTTGACATTTTACCTAACGTATTGTCGATAATTTTACCAACATTAATATAATTTGTCTATACATGTTGAAAATCCTACTTATATACTTAAATTAAGATAGGTAAATTAGGAATTTAATTACAGGCTCTTATTTTTAAATATGAAAGATTAAGCATTTTTTTTTTATCGTGTATTTTTTTATGTAGGTATGGTAGGATTGCTGGTGTCCATTTTTCTGTCCCATAAACATGCAAGATTTCAGGTACGTCTTGCTACTTCTACTTACACTTAGGTCACACTACACATACATGTACAACCATATATATACACACACATCTGGGGTTTCTTCTGTTTTCTTACTAGTTCTTGTTCTTGTTTATTTCCTCTTACCACCATGGGGAAGTGGAACAGAATTCTTCCTCCGTAAGCCATGCGTGTTGTAAGAGGCGACTAAAATGCCGGGAGCAAGGGGCTAGTAACCCCTTCTCCTGTATATATTACTAAATGTAAAAGGAGAAACTTTCGTTTTTCCTTTTGGGCCACCCTGCCTCGGTGGGATACGGCCGGTGTGTTGAAAGAAAGAAGATGAAATTAGTTTAACATGTTATTCTCTGGGTATTAATAGTATTTGTCTGTTATTCTACAATATACAGTGGTCCCTCGTTTTTTGTAATTAATCCGTTCGTGGAAGTGTGACTATTATCGAAATTGACGATTTTCGAATCCATTTTCCCCATAAGAAATAATGTTAATCCAATTAATTCGTTCCAGACACCCAGAAATATCAACAACAATTATTTTTTTGTACCTTAAAGATAGATTTACATGCACAAAAGAATGAACATTCAACATGACAGTTACCTTTATTGAAGGCTGTTGTTGATGAATAGAAGACAGGGAGGAGGAGAGAGATTATTGTTTGGAAGGGGAATCCCCCTCCATAAGGACTCTAGGTCACTTCAGGGGTCACTTCCCTAGCTTAAATATAGATTTACATGCAGAAAAGAATGGCAAATAAATGTAAAGCACTAATAAAATGTATAAATGAACAATTAACATCACACTTACCTTTTATTGAAGACTTTTGTTGGTGTATGGCAGAGGGAGGGGTGGCAAGTTTATTGTTGGAGAACATGGCACTAATATCAACTCTACGGCTTATTTATCTATCACAGTTCAACTAATAACTTGGAAACATGGAATATACTCTAGAATGAATAAAATAAGTCATTATGTATGTCACAAGAGGTGTTGTGTTGTTGTTGGGTGTATAAGGGCCACTGAGAGTAAGCCATCCTAATGGTGGTGAAGCAGCAGCTGAGGCAGCGGTATTTTCTGTAGCCCTATATAACTCCAACAACATTGGAGGAGTTGGTAGAATTGCTGAATCACTGAAGAAGGCACCCTCTACCACCCTCTACCACCATCACATCCACTATCACCCTCTACCACCATCACATCCATTACCACCCTCTACCACCATCTATCACTATCACAACTGCTACCACCATCACTACCACCGTCTGCCACTATCACAACTGCTACCACCCTCTACCACCATCACTACCACCCTCTACCACTATCACAACTGCTAGCACCCTCTGCCACCATCGCTACCACCCTCTACCACTATCACAACTGCTAGCACCCTCTACCACCATCACTACCACCCTTTACCACTATCACAACTACTTCCACTCTACCACCACCACCACCTTCGTATTTTTCTACTAACTTTTTCTTAAATTATGTGTTTCTCAAATTCTTTACCAAAGGGCTGGCACTAGAAGCTTTATTTGGAATCATGGTGACTTATTTAGCAGCTGCAAGCACTAAAACGAATGGAATATTGTGAAATGTATCGTATGAACTAGTGAGATCATCCTCACTCACTTATAAAGAATGGCACACTGGCTGGGAATGGAGTGTGGGGCGGCTCGGGACTGTGTGTACACCTCCCAGACGAACGACTATTTGCGAGTCTAACAACAATTCGCGAGCCAATGTTTTGACGAAAATAACGTTATGATTTTTGAAAATTATGACTATCTAGCCTTACGATTATCGAGGGACCACTGTATTGTGTTTGTTTGGTATCATGATAACCTTAATTATGTGACTTATTTAGGTAGGTAATTAGTTTTTTAACAGTGAGATTATATTACATTATCTGAAACTATGTAAATGAGAAGAAAAAAATTCTGATTTTACAGACATAATACAACGAGTCTCCCGAGGCGGACACCTCGAGTCTCCCGAGGCAGACACCTCGAGTCTCCCGAGGCAGACACCTCGAGTCTCCCGAGGCGGACACCTCGAGTCTCCCGAGGCTTGGCAATAATTTTACATTTCGTATTTAATCCATTGCAGGTTTGTAGTTCTAAACACAGTGGAGGAGAAAATCTTGCAACTGCAACAAAAGAAGTTACAACTGGCTGAGGATGTCTTGTCAGGTGCAAAACGTGCACAAAACAACAAGCTCACTCTACAAGACATGAAGGATATCTTCAATGTAGCCTGAGCCAGTTCACTTCAGACTATTTTATTGTGTGAAATATTAGTCACTTCTTATGCTTTAAAATACTCGGCAAGATCATCCTGTGTTCCTCATGCTGATTTAAGTTTTGCTGCCAAATTAGGAACCGAGCATGAGTCAGTGCGGCCTGAGTCAGTTCCTCAGACTAGTGTTTCTTATCAGTTCCTCAGACTACTAGTGTTTCTTATCAGTTCCTCAGACTACTAGTGTTTCTTACATGTAATTTCAAAAAAAAAAAAAATTTGCTTGTAGGTATTCACTGTTATGTCACTGGTGATTGTTATTTAGTGAAAAAAATTTTAATGAAACTAAGTGTGTTCTAATTCTTTGTTTTATGAAATTAAATTTTATATTTAAAAATCTTCTTTAATGGGATGATAACTTTTAGTCAAATGCTTTACAAAATAATGCAATAATTTTTTTAAAGAGATTTTTCATTGTATTATTCAGGTCTCTATTTTTGTTAGTGTACAGTGTATATTAAAATTTCAAAATATGTAATCATTTAAGTGTTTTTAATTCACTTGTAAATGAATGAATGGCTGTGAAATTCTCTCCACTTTTCACCATATCAGATTAAATTCTCTCCACTTTTCACCATATCAGATTAAATTCTCTCCACTTTTCACCATATCAGATTAAATTTTCTCCACTTTTTATATCAGATTAAATTCTCTCCACTTTTTATATCAGATTAAATTCTCTCCACTTTTCATCATATCAGATTACAAGTGTTGTATAGGTTCTTAACTCTCACTGTCATGTAGGTCTACGTTATTGATGCCTGAGTCCCTCACATAGGCCTGCATTTTGAGTCAGCTCCCTCGGGTAAGCTGTGAGTGGCAAATTTTGGACTAAATGTGAGAGGCTGAGTCTGTGCAGTGAGTGTGCACAGTATAAAAGAAATCGTGCCCCTTGCACTGTGTGATCTGAAAAAGCAAAACTCTGACCTTGCATTAGGTTTGAAATAGCAAGTTTGAGGTGTTTTCTAGGATAGTTTTAATGGTTATATCTAGGTATCTTCACCAGGTGCCAGATCAACTAGGCTGTGATGGATATGTGGGCAGTCGGCCTCCAGCAGCAACAGCCTGGTTGAGCAAGTAGCACCAGGCGATCCTGGTCCATGGCCAGGCTCCGAGTGTAGTGAAACTCTCGAAACTCTTCAAAGGTATATCATTTTATACAGTGGAAGACACTACTGAAACAGATATATTGGTTGGTTTCAGGACCTGAAGTAGCTTGAAATTGGGCTCAGATTAGTGGAAATATTGAAATTTTGATGATTTTCCTGATGACGGGAACCTCCCCTTCCTTTCAAATCCCTTGTTAGTCTGATTCAATTCTTGGGACATCATAAATCATGAAAGGAATTAATTGTAATTGCACTAATTCTTATGGGAAATAATATTTCTGTTTTCGGCCATTTCGGCTTTAGGCTGAGCTTCTGAAATGGATTACGGCCGATAACCGAGGGTCCACTGAACTTCAGTGTATTACTTCAGAAAATGTGGAAATAAATCACACTGATTCATTTTGTGTGTACATACACACACACACTGTATAGCTTTTTTCTAATATTTTTACTATTTTGGTCTTTTAAGGCCATGTACAATGAATTCTTATAATAAAATTGTTTGTGTAATACTCCTCAAAACGTGGAAATTATTTGCATTGTTTACCTATACTGGTTTATCTTGGGTTAAATATTCTTAGTGTGCTTTGTGGCTGAATTCCACTGTTTGGGACAAGGTCCTCACTTGCCAGGTATATATATTGTAATGTATCTCCCCTCCACTCTAGTGAGTACATATTTAGGACCACAAGTCATTCCAAAAGTAGATCTACGTTTTTTTACATTCTTAGGAAGAAAATCAAGGTCGGAGCGCTATGTACGCAAACGTAGATCTGTTTTTTTACATTCTTGTGGAGAAAATCAAGGTTGGAACGCTATGTACGCAAACGTAGATCTACGTTGGGACAGTTTATGGGTTAAATGCTGTATTGGCTCTATGCAGGATGTAAATGATATCTGTATCTGTTCCAGCTCTGATATTTTTCCTGCCCTGAACATGCCAGAGAGTCTGAGAGAGGTAGCATAGGCGCTGTGTGCACGACTAACAACAATCTTCAACATATCTATTGAAACGGAGACTACCTGAGGTGTAGGAGACAGCAAATGTAGTCCCATTTTTTAAGAAAGGAGACAGACACACAGCATTAAATTACAAACTGGTGTCACTGACATGCATAGTATGTAAAGTCATGGAGAAGATTATCAGAAGAGTGGTGGAGCACCTAGATAGGAGTGAGCTTATACACAATGACCAGTATGCTTTCAGGGAAGGGAAATCCTGTACCACAAACCTGAAGTTTTACAAGGTGACAGAAGTAAGATGAGAGAGAGGGATGGGTAGATTGCATTTTCTTTGACTGCAAGAAAGTCTTCGACACAGTTCCACACGAGATTAGTGTAAAAGCTAGAGGATCAGGCACACATAACAGGAAAGGCACTGCAATAGATCAGAGAATACCTGACACGATGGCAACAAGAAGTCAGGGTACGTGATGAGGTGTCAGTGGCGCCTCAGACAAGTGGGGTTCCCTAGGGGTCAGTCCTAGGACCAGTGCTGTTTCTGGTATATGGGAATGACATGATGGAAGGGATAGACTCAGAAGTGTCCCTATTTGCAGATGTGAAGTTAATGAGGAGAATTCAATCAGATGAGGATCAGGCAGGACTAAAAAGGGATCTGGACAGGCTGCAAGCCTGGTCCAGCAACTGGCTCCTGGAGTTTATCCCCACCAAGTGCAAAGTCATGAAGATTGGGGAAGGTCAAAGAAGACTGCAGACAGAGTACAGACCAACGGGGCCAAAGACTGCAAACCTCACTCGAGGAAAAGGATCTTGGGGTGAGTATAATACCGGGCACATCTCCTGAGGTCACTTCAACCAAATAACTGCTGCAGCATATGGGTGCCTAGCAAACCTAAGAATAGTGTTCTGACACCTCAGAAAGGAATCTTTCAAGACTCTCTACATTATGTATGTCAGGCCCATACTGGAGTATGCAGCACCAGCTTGGAACCCACACCTGGTCAAGCACATTAAGAAATTAGAGAAAGTGTAAGGGTTTGCAACAAAACTAGTCTGAGCTAAGGGGCATGTCCTATGAAGAGAGGTTAAGGGCAATCAACCTGATGACACTTGAGGACAGGAGAGATAGGGGAGACATGGTAATGACATGCAAAATACTGAGAGGAATTGACAAGGTGGACAGGGACAGGATGTTTCAGAGATGGGACACAGCAACAAGGGGCCACAATTGGAAGTTGAAGACTCAGATGAATCACAAGGATGTTACTAAGGGAGTATTTCTTCAGTCACCTCTTCAAGGGGGAGCTCCTTGGCGTGGTGAACAGGCTCTTGGTCTGAGGAATTAGACCTGTTGGTCTCCTTCCTCAGACCGAACCTAATTATCCCCCAATCCCCCCTTCCCTATCCCATCCTCCCCTTTTTCCTTTCCTCCTCCTCCCCACCCCTCCCTTTTGCCCTTCCTCTTTTTGGCCTTTGGGATTTTTCCCACAGGCACGCTAGTTCCTAGGTAGGGGAAAGGGTACCGAGGTCCATCCCATTCCGTTGAGGTTCTTGGCGGTGGAGTAGTTTGCTGTGGAATCTGGATCGCCTGGGGATGTCCCGATCCCTCTCCGGTATCCCGGAGTGTGGCTTTGGGTGTCTTTCGGGTGACGGGTGTATCTCTGGAAGCCACCTTTCGGATTCCGGGGGTGGTGGCCGAAGGAGGTATGCTTTGTGGCGGATATCCGGCCGCCCTCTCTTTTGTCCACCGAGGTAACTCGGCAGATGTGAGGTTGCTATCCCGGATTGCTGGTTTACTGGCATGAAGGGTAGGGTATGGCATGGGTTCCATGCTGCATATGCGCTACTAACGGTGCTGAGGTCCTCTTGGGCGCGGAGGGAGATTTCCGGCCCTTTCATTCCTCCCCGCTCCCCCATTTTTTTTATTCTTTTTTTTTTATATTTCTTTTCTTTTCTTTCTTTTTTTTCTTAGAAACAAAAAGCAAAGGAGTAACCTAACCATGGAGAACCCAATCCATGAACCTACTACCCCTGGGCCCCTTCTTGATACCGCACCCCATTCTGACCCTGCCTTGTTTTTTGACCACTCTTCGGACACTCCTGATGCCCCTGTACCTCTTGCTGGTGCTGTTTCCTCACCCGCTTCAGGTACCGGGGCTTAGACTGACTCCTTCCATTTGTCTGACCTCCGCTCTCCTTCTGGCCTCTCCCTCTACGGTACAGCAATTTTTAAATCGCCAGCCCATTTCACGTCGGACCGACTCCGGTCCTACTCTTAAATGCCAACAACAATCTCCTGATGATGTAACTTCGTTACCTTCCCATTCTACTCGGAAAAGACCAACTCATTATGCACTCCCTCTCCACGCTTAGTTTCGGACCACACATTGGACTGAATTCTTTACTTTAAGACCGACTTCTTCTGCCTATCTTTCTGACCATAGTATTGGCAAAGCGCTCCTGCGCCATGTTGGTAGAGATATTTCATTTCATGCTCTGAAGAGCGGTACGCGCATCGTCACTGTCCAGAATGCTACCCAAGCTCATGATCTTTCTCTCCTTTCGCATATCAATTCTACTCCTATCACTATTGAAAAACATCTTTCTCTCAATTCTTGTAGTGGTACTGTCATTCTGCCCCATACTATAGTCCAACAGAATTTCCAGTCATGTGGCAATGACATTCTTGAACAGCTGGAACTCCAGGATCTCCCAATCCTCAAAGTAGACACTTATGTCCTTCCTGCCCGCGGGCGGAGACGATACCCTTGCAATGTGGTTCAATTAACTTTCGACATCCGTGAACTCTCGTCCTCTGTTTGTCGCGGGACATCGGTTACAAGTTCAAAAGGTGATTCCTACACCGCAAAAGTGTATAAATTGCTGGCATTTTGGTCACCCAGCGAAATATTGCAGATCTATAGCCGAATGCCCAGTCTGTGGTGCCGACGACCATTCTAATACGTCTTGCAGTCAACCTCCATCTTGCCTTAATTTTGATGAGGCTCACCCTTCGTACTCTCGCCGTTGTCAGGTCTACTTAAATGAGCGTGAAATCCGTTGCCTCAAAGAGGCAGAAGGTCTCCCTTATGCTATGGCAGTTTCTCATCTCCGCCTCCAAGGGAGACTACCCTGTGTTTCTTATTCTCGTGCTTCAAAACGTCCCCCCACTTCTGGGGTCCCATCTTCTGAAGCCTCCTCTGTTGTTACCCCTCCCATAGCCACTCCGGTATCTAATCCTTTTGCTGTCCTGGGTTCTGACGTCCCAACTACAACTCAGTCTGTTCTCACATCTTCGCGTCCTTACTCACAAGCCCCGGTATCAACGAAACCTCATACGACACCTTATACCAATCGCCCCTCTACTTCTCAGAGGTCCAAAAAATCCCCATTCCCTTCTTCCGCCTCC